GAAGAAGAAGAAGAAGAAGAAGAAGAAGAAGAAGAAGAAGAAGAAGAAGAAGAAGAAGAAGAAGAAGAAGAAGAAGAAGAAGAAGAAGAAAGCCAAAAACAAACAAAGGAATCTGCGAATGGAGAAACAACTGGAGACGTGCACCTGCAGCTTTCTGCATCATTGGCTGGGAGGAGAATCCAGCCTGTTCACACCTCCTTCACAGATCAGTCACAAGGGAGGGCTAGAGGATCACTTTGTCCCCTGCTGCCTCTAGCACAACCTCAATCCAAGAGGCCCCTGCTCCTGTCCAGTTCAGCATCCACAAAGAAGCCCGCTAAATGTTCTAAATGTCTTGTGATAACACAGAAGACAGTCCTAGTCTAGAAGAACCAAATTCGGATCCCTTATCCTAGAAGGGCAGACTGTTGTAGAAAGTTCTCTACTTTTAACAGCTCTCTGGGTTCCATTGACTCTGAAGATTGCTTTTCTCTTACCTAACTGACCTATCTTAGAGTGACAGTATGACAGGGTCGTAGTAGAAAATTATGAAATTAAAGTCCTTTAAAAATGTGCAAGCTATAACCTTTTAACAACTCACTGATGCACTCATGCCAGGCACTGTGTCAAGCAGGATCTCATTTAATCCAACTTTGAGGAGGTAAGGGTTGTCTTCTCTGGACAGATGAAGAAATGGAGCCACAGAAAGATTAAGAAGAACTTGCCTCTGTTTGCCCAGCCAGTAAGCAGTGAGGAAAATCTCATCCAAAGTGCCTGTTTCCAAAGCCAACTCCTAACAACTCCCTACACTGCGCTCCTTGAGGACCAGGAGATTAGAGATCTCATTTTTCTGGTCTTGATCACTTGACCTCAGGCCCCAAGTCTCTAAGCAGATCACTGAGGAAGTACCCGGTGCCTTTTGCATTCCATGGACCCCTTTGATTTGAAGTTTTCTGAGCTACAAAGACAAGATCATAGTTATCCTCCCAACCCAAAGGCTGGAACCTCTGGAACTGGGCCAACGAAACTTATCCTTTCCTATACCCAAGGCCTTGTCCTTTCTCATGTATCTGTTACATGCCCTGTTCAATGTGGTACATGGGAGCAGCCCATACATCACAGAGGGTTCAAAGATGATGAGGTGCCAAACCATGGGAGATGGGGCAGGGAGGGGACACTAGTGAATGGAACTGGTGGTCTGCTGCTGGCTGTCATGGAGACTCACCTGAGGGGACTGTGCTGGGCCCAGAATCAGGTGGAACCTGGAGAGAAGACAGAGAAGGGACTCATGGCACAGATGGGGCTGAACAGCAGGGACAGGGGCAGAGGTGTGGTGAAGCTCAGAAGCTGATGTCTAAAGGGCTAAATTTCCATTCTTTCCATGCCACCAGCTGACTGTATGACCTTGACGTAACTATTTAACCTTTCTCTCCAAAAAGGATCTCACTTATGTTGAGAGATGTTTTTCAGTGGTGGTGGGAGGGGCTATAGAAACAATCTCAGTTTCCATGTTACACCATCTTAGTTGTTAACAGGGTTTACTGCAAGGACCATTTTCACTAAGTCTAACTTGAATCTAATGCTGCCTATTTCCACTTCTATTGTTCTATAAGACACACAGATCTGACCAGCAGAATATGGTGAAGGGTCTAGTTACAGTCTTTTCAAAGCCCTAAAAACTATAAAGCTTATGGCCCTCCTCTCAAATACACATAAAATATACTAAAAAATAAGTACAAAACTTCTGTAAATGAGAAGGTTGTAATAGCTTTTTTTCCCCTAAAATCCTGGATCAATTTTTTTTTCACCCAATATGTACTTACCTAAGAGTTTCAGTGTCCATGCTAATACGTTTAGTGCCAGAAGCAAGTCCCCATCCTGGCTTTTGGGTTATCCAGCCCAAAGGAAAAGTCACTGCAGGACAGGCTGCATCACCCTGGCCTTGAGGGACCAGATCATGTCACACTCCCACCTTCTTCAAATCTGTATCTGGAGACTATGGGGAACCGGTGAGCTCTGGTGGCCCCATCTCCAGAGCCAAGGTAGAGAGCCCAGGTTTTTATCATTCATGACCCACAGGGCAACTCTTCCTGCCTTTTCTCCTAGTTTCTGCTAGGGAAGCAAGGAGTGTAGCAGTTGCTGTCACTTGGCATTGTTGCCAGGGACCGGAAGTAATGTCTTTTACCTGATCAGCAATTTGACATGGCTGCTTAACAACCCAATTAATCAAACCCAGCTAATCCTGTTAAAATTAATGAGCCTAGAAAATGCTGCCATGAATAATGAGGGCTTTTGCCCCTCTCTCAGCACCTCGCTCCACTCTCCCTACTATTTCCTTCTCAAAGCCATAGCACAGCGACTCAAAACCAAGGGCTGCTAGGCCTTGCTGGGTGAGATGCATGGCCAGCATTGGGCCTCTTTTTCTCCTCCAAGCCCTTCAGCCTCCTACCAGGAGCCAGAAGCTGGCCATGTCCTAGAGGAGCAAACTCTCTTGTTCATCAAACAGATATATGTATGTGTTAGCAGATGAAGCTGGAATAAGTGTCTCACTGTACCAGGCACCTCACTCAGAGTGAGATGGGTAAAATATTGTTCCTGTGAGGGCACACAGTGAGGTGGTCACCAGGTAGTGACCCAGAGACAAATGAGGGAGTGCTATGACAGGGGATGTGGGAAGGGCCTACCTATACTGGGGAGCACAGGGGAAATCAGGGAGGGTTTCCTGGGGCTGAGCACCTGAGCATTTCTGCCACTGTGTTCTTTATTGCATACATACATGTGAATTGCTCAGCACTGCAACAGGATGAATGTGGTTCCCTTTCTCTTTTTTATTGAGTTTATTGGTACTTTTGAAGTATACAGTACAGCTACATTCATCATTGGGATCTTGTACCTTTACATGACAGATCTTGGTTCTCATTTGTTCCCCATACCCCTGCTCTCCCTTCACCCCCACCACCCTCTCCTGTGGTTCCCATTCTTATAGAGCAGGCAGTGTGGAAACATGAACAGACACTTTTTGTTTTTTATTTACTCATCCAAGCACCAAAAGTTGTTGAGGGCCTTTTGGTCTAAGAGTTCAGCACCAGGAAAAAGAGATGTGAAGATGTAAACCCAACCCATACCTCCAACAGGTCATCTGGAGGGCAGACAGATATATGCATGGACACTTTCAGTTATGTGCTAAGCCAAGTGTTCTAACAGGGACATGCCAAAGCACTCAGAATAAGATTCAAAGCACTGAGCTCAATCTGGAAAATTCAGGAAAGACTTCCTGAAGGAGATAACTTTAGACAGAGAGGAGCAGATAGACTGGATGCAAAAAGACATTCTAGATCTCATCCAAGCCAAGGTGAGGGTTTTGAGTGACAGGAGTTGAAGTAGAAGTGAAAGATGATTCTAGAAATCTTGGAGAGAAATGGTAGAAGGAAGAACATGCTTAATATATACAGCTATATTATGCTTAAATATACTATGCTTAAATATATAGATGGAGACCTGAAACTTGGAGTCCAGGACCTCCTGGATTTACTTATCCATGGTTGAGAACAAGGAATTGCTTCACGAATGGTGAAATTCCCCCAAAATAGCAGGAACATGTCTGAAGTGGCCATATTCCAAACACACCAGCATGAGGTCCAGGGTTTGAGCTACAACATGGCATCACATGAGTCCTTTGATTGAAATGAGGCAGAAGAGCTGGGTCCAAAATAAATGAGCTGAGGGAGGCACAAAAGGAAGGAAGGAAAAAATGGTGGGAAAGCCAGAAGGAACACAGGTCAGGGGAGGTGGATGGACCCAACTGCGAATGGCCCTAGGAAGGTAAACAAAGCACTGGGTAGATAAGGATTTCATGAGCGAACATGGTGGTCCTTGATACTGGATGGAGGAAGAGAACAGACCAAGAGAAGAAAACAAAGAGAGGGAGAGAGACAAGCAGTAGATGAGACTTATGGAGACAATTTGGGACCAACTCGTCAGGGGACATAGAGATACAGGCTTCAGTCATGGCCACCTGACTTATCCCAGGGTGCTCTGGAAAATAATCCCAACTGTGAGGTCCACTCGCAATGAGTTTCATGGAGATGCCATGTGGCTTGGTATATTTTCCCTTCCTGCTTCCAGTGTCCACCAGCTGGGCTTTTGCTTTGTGCCCCAAGGCTGGCTGGAGAGACCCAGGCCTTCAGCAAGAGCATTGGCCCAACCTCCAAGGTTCCCAGGATTCAGATCCATCCTATCTTTTCCTCACTCAAGGACCTGGGATGGAGGCCTCGTGGAGAGAACCTAGGTCTCTATGCATTGGCCTTCAGGAAATTGCAAAGACTAAGACCTTGGCTCTATATTCGGGCAAAGTGACTCTCACAATTTTAAGATCCTTAACATTACACTATCGGGGAAGTTTTACATAAGACCCTAGGTTTGATCACCAGGAAAAGAAGTTTCCCACATATACAACTGGCTGGAGCAGACAGCAGCTGTCCTTTTAGCCTGGCTCTGAGCTCTCCGATTCACCCAGTCTCCACCAGAGAGCTTCTTTCACCCCCTTTTTACTGCAGCTGGCTCCCACGGAAAACATCCCACAGTGCTCACGAAACCTGTGGACCTGAGCTGTAAGAAACGTTGGCCTGGGTGTGTTGGCCTGTGTCTTATTACAGTCTCCAAACTGACTGCAGTTGCTTGGCTCCCACGCTGCTAGGGACGCAAGGGCCCACACCTCCTGCGTGGAGTCTAGCGTCGCCAGACAAAATCCCTGCCTGGTTGTAGTGGCTTGATCCGGCCTAAGGGTGTGGCTCAAACCAAGGCTGCAGCCTCCACCCACCTGCTAAGGGTCTCACCGCTTGGGCCTCACCGCTCTCTGTTTCTCTCCCTGCAGGGGGAGCTGCTGAGCCCTTGCCGCTGCGACGGCTCGGTTAAATGCACTCACCAGCCATGCCTCATCAAGTGGATCAGCGAGCGAGGTTGCTGGAGCTGCGAGCTGTGCTACTATAAGTACCACGTCATCGCCATAAGCACAAAGAATCCTCTGCAGGTGAACTCGGGGGCTGCCCGCCACTAGTGTTAGGCCTGGGGCTCCCATTACGCCTACTTTGCGGGTGGAAAATTCAGGACCGTTTAGAGCCCAGGAGCGGCCGTCGGTGGGGGGGGCGCGGGAGACGGATTTTCTTTTTAAACCCCAGCAAGAAGAGGAGGGGTGGGACGGAGAGAAGTAGATGTAAGAGGTGGAAAAGTGGAGAAGCAGATGGAAGAGAGAGAGAAATGGATGAAGAAAGGAAGAAGGAAATGGAAAGAGGAAGAGGAAAAAAGAGGGAGGGAAAGAAAATAAAACAGTAAAGGAAGAAAATAAAGGAAAGACCAGTGGGCGGCACAGAGTTAAAAAAAAAGAGAGAGATGATATGGGAAGAGTGAGAAGGATGGAGTAAAAGCCAAGAGCTGAAACAGAAGAAATGCAGGCAAGAAAGCTCAACAGCAATTTCCAAACTCCCCAGCCCCTGCAATTTCCAAACTTTAAATGCATGAAATTCACCTGGAGTTTTGTCAAAATGCAGACTAAGGTTCAGTGGGTCTGGGACCAGGCTGGGAGTTGCTTTGCTTTGCTTTGCTTTGCTTTGCTTTGCTTTGCTTTGCTTTGCTTTGCTTTGCTTTGCTTTGCTTTGCTTTGCTTTGCTTTGCTTTGCTTTGCTTTGCTTTGCTTTGCTTTGCTTTGCTTTGCTTTGCTTTGCTTTGCTTTGCTTTGCTTTGCTTGCTTTCCCTTTCTTTCTTTCTCTCTTTCTCTTTCTTTCTCTTCTTTCTTTCTTTAATCTTGCTGTGTAGTTCAGGGTGGCCTGGAACTCACTGTGTAACCCAGGTTGGCCTTGCACTGTGGCAATCCTCCTGCTTCAGCCTCCCTAGGATTACAGGGATTACAGGCCATCACACCCCAAAACACCCCAAAACATGCATTTCTGACTAACTATGGGTAATATTCTTGTTGCCCGTGCACAGACCACACTTCAGAAAGATAAATGGAGAAGAGACAGGAGAGGGAGGCAAAGAAAAAGGGGGAAAGGGGCAATAAAAAAGAAAAGGGGACAGAGGATGAAAAGATTAAGGCAAGGATTTGGAGCTCCTTGTGCCCAGGCTCTCCCCTCCCACCCTATCTTGACACATCAGCCTTCTCCCAGGCCCTGCGCCACCTGATGTAGCCAACAAATCACACAGCTCTCCCTGCAAGGTGTTCAAAGCATTTTGCTTCTGAAAATATCTCCATATATGCATGATTGGCCAATTAAGCTGCCACATAATCAATTAGCTAGTCCACCAGTGTGGGTGGGACTCCAGCTGCCTGGCAGTTTCCCTTCCTCTCTTAAAGGGAGGGGAAGAATCAACCCTGAAAGCCCAGGGCACTAAGGGTTAATGATGATGGGGTGGGGTCTTTGCATAGTGGGGCAGCTGGAAACACCTGGAGTTACAGTGTCCTGAGTGTTTTATTTTAGACCCTGTGGAGATTTCCATGGGGCACCGCCAGGAATGGCACTGTGTGTCCATGCACACATGAGGGCTGGGGTGGGGGCGTTTCTGGAAAGTGGTATTGAAGTCCCAGGCAGCTCAGTCACCCTGATGGTGAGCCAAGGAGTCCACATCAGAGGTACCTCTCCCTGCCACTGCTTCCATCTGCAGCCATTTGTTTCAAAATCTCAAAGTATCTTAAAATAGCAATGTCATAAGACAGCTAATTCCACATCCTATGGGTGTCAGCGGAGGTCTGAGTGTATTAACCTTCCCCTTCCTGTTCAGCTGGCTCAGGCCTCAAGAAAGGTCAGATCCCAAATTCACAAGCCTGCCGCAGAGTCTCCCCTCCTGCCTCCACCTTGGCTCATATAATAGAAAACTGTCCAGGGGTAGTTTTTTCCCAAGGGTAAAAAAGAAAGAAAAGCGTATTTTAATCTTATAAATCAGATGAGCAAATGGCAGTGCTGGCAATATTGATCTATTAATCCATCCTTAACTTATTACTATGTCTTTAATTGTGACACTGGGAACCTCTCTGATTCTGTCGGTCCTCACGAAGTCATGCTGTATGCTCAGTAAATGCCTTTACACTTCTCCACATAACACTAGAACTCTGGCTAGAAGCTGTGTTGTGTATTTGTGGCCCAAAGTGTCCCAATTGTGTGTCCTCAGACCTAGAAAGTCTGAGACAGCTTCCGGCTCAGCACAATGAGCAGCCTCACCACAGTGGCCTGAGCATGAGCAAGCAGAGCAACCTGCTATCAGAGGGAGGAGATTCCTTCTGGGTCTCTCTCCTCCTGGATCAAGCACAGTACATAGTTGTGAGAAACAGCACAACTATTCACTATGGGACATCATCTCAGGGGCCCGCTGGAATCAGTGTTTCAGTCCAAAGACTCTGAGAAGAGAGTCACAGCACAGCCTTGTGAGTCTCAAGGCTCCACGGTTGCTTCTCACCCTCTACTACATCTGAGCCAAAATTTTAATATATCCCTTTGTACACGGTTTCCCTTTCTATGGTGTCAGATAATGGTGGTCAACTTTAGTCCAAAAATATTATGTGGAAATTTTCAGCAATAAACAACTCATAAGTTTTAAATTGTATCTGTTCTGAATAGAATTATAAAATCTCACACCTTGTTGCTCCATCCTGCCTAGGACATGAATCATCCCTTTATCCAGTGTATCTGTGTTGTATATGCTACTTGCCCGTTAGTCACTTGGTAACTGTATCTTATCAGATGAGCTATTGCCATGTCTCACATAGTACTTGTATATGGAATTCAGTACTATCCAAAGTTTCAGGCAGTCTCTGGGAGTCTTAGAATCAATTCCCCTTGGATAAGGGGGAACTGTATTATATTAATTCACACTTAGTCAGTACACATTAGGTACCTGTCAGTGTCCCAAGTATTGACATATATCATTTACTTTAATCTTGAAGACAGTCTGATAAAGTGGATACTATTATTATCATTTCCAATTTACAGATGACTGTGGGAGCACAGAGGGTTCTGTAATTTGTACAAAATCAGATAACTATGAAGTGGTAGAGTAATGTTGCTGCCTGCAACAGGGACTCTGACTCCTAACCTCTACCTCATAGTGCCTAGGCACACTTAGGACTTAGGATTTCTTCCATCTGGATGGGCTTATCCATATTTTGCTGGAGCACTATAAAGAATACCCTTTAAGCCCTGGCTTGACAGTTATTTCCTTTAACGTTCACCAATGCTGCAGACAGGAGTTCGGGGTGTGCACAAGTTTCACAGTAGTGGGATCAGAATCTCACTTGGAATGAGGTCCCAAAGCCCCAGGTGTCCAATGGCAGCAGAACCTGGCCCTACTGGTGCCCTTCTCCCCTCTCAGCCTGCTGTTGAAATCAGAGCTTTCTCATTCTCTGTGCTCCCCTTACACTGTCTTCCCACCCCTCTGTGGAGCCTCACAAGGATGAACAGCACCCCACCCTCTTCCTTCATCATCACACAGTGGTCAGGGACACCAATTAGATTCTGAAGATTGTTTGGGACTGATAGAAGAGATGGACAGGTCTTTTCTGTGCCCCTATATTTGGTGTTCTTGAAATTTGGAAGAGGAGGACAAGGTGAGGGGTCTTGATACCTCAGTAGTAATCAGGGGCCCTCCTTCCAGGCAGTGGAGCAAGTCCTGGAAAAAACATTAACTCTGCATGACAAGTCTTCTGGAAAATTCCTTTGTTATGTGTAATCCTAGACTGGGGCAAGCATTGGAAAATGTAAAGGCCCAGTTCCCTGTAATGGGATACTATCTGTGTAATTAAATGTCAAGGTCAGTGTCCTACATCTGGACTAGCAGGTGAAATATTTTCTAGTGATTATGATTCCTTGGGGGTAACCTGCTGGTCCCAGCTGCCCTCCTGACCACTAAAGGCAGAATGGGGCTCCCTAGTGGAAAGTTGTCAGGTTGAAATGCTTCCTGTCATCCACATCCTTCCAATCAGAAGATGCCCTTCCCTCTACCTTCGCAAATCTGGTTCCTATCAATGCCCTGCTTAAAGCCATTCACAGTTCCACATTTACTCTTACGACAAGAGTACCATCTTCCCTTCTTACTTCTCCAGCTGTCTCAGCCCACACAATTTTTTCTCTCCTCTCCACCCACTCTGGTCCATTTCTAGGTCTTCATACTCACCATGCTTTCTTCCAACATGGGGCCTTTGCACATGCTCTTCTCTCTGCCTGGAGTGCTCTTCACTCATTTGTGCTTAGTAAACTACTATTCAGCACAAGCATCACTTCCTATAGGAAGCCAAACTGCCCTCTCACAGACTCTTACCATGTACCTCCCTTTGTAACCCGTTGGATTGCAGTGGAAAATTCACAGGATTGTCCCTGCTCCTTAGGCTACAAGCTTCACAAAGGTGGGGACTTTGTCTGGTTGTACCTACTGCTTTATTTCCACTATCTAGCACAGAGAAAAGGCACATAGAATACTCAATACATATTTGTTAGATGACTGCATTAATAAATCCTGTACTAAAAATTCAACTTCTGGACTACTTTGGCCCATACTGCCTGGACCAGCTATAGAATCACCAAATTCCAGAGCTGACACCCACACTCTAGCCTTCAATCTTGCCATCAATACTGCTGTTAAGTACAATGCTTTTTCTGTTAAAAAAAAGAAAAAGAAAAGAAATATCCACATTAATATATGCTCAGTAAATTATAAATTGTTTTCCTTATCTCTCTCCCACATTCTGTGTCCTCTCCTTGTCTATTGAATTGGCAATCTCTGGCATGCATATTAAATGGCATGTGAAGTGTTGTTATTGTAGAAGCAAAACAAAACAGGCAAAAGAGACCTGTACCCTCTCAGCACCTATTAGTGAGAAAATCGACTGTGTTATTCTGAAAAGAATATTCTAGGGCCCTGGAACACTACCCACACAAGCTGTTTGTTTCCTTTTTCTCCTTCTCATTTCTCTATTTCATAATCAAGTATAAGGCCGTTCTTCTCAGCCATGCCTGCCCAGAATCCTTCCTTACAATGATTTCTGGTCATTTCATGTGATATATAGGCTTCCTCAATCTAAAAATACAATGTGAAACTGCAAAAATGTCCCTTGTACTACAATTTGGGATGGCCTGGTTTAAATCTGATTTCTGAGGTAATTTGTTGGAGCAGCGGAAGAGGGAAGGGAAAGGGGTGAGGGCACCCAAGCAACAGCTAACCTGCCACTCTCTCCTCCCCAGTGGCAGGCCATCTCTCTGACAGTCATCGAGAAGGTTCAGATTGCAGCTGCCATCTTGGGCTCCCTCTTCCTCATCGCCAGTATCTCTTGGCTCATCTGGTCGACCTTCAGCCCCTCAGCAAAATGGCAGCGCCAAGACCTCCTCTTCCAGATCTGCTACGGGATGTATGGCTTCATGGACGTGGTGTGCATAGGTGGGTCTAGGGGCTTGTTTCCATGTGAAGTGGGAGGCCACATGAAAATGAGACAGGATCCCTTTCTGTGGGAGGCCAAAACAGGGATGACACTAAGCTTGAGATCTGGAATCTCAGGATGGGGCCCAGAAGAGGTAGGAGAGCTGGATGGGTAGGTAGAGGACCCACGACAAAGGAGGAAGCTCTAAATTGTTCCTAGGGAAATCTGCCTTGCCCAGTAGATGATAAGGATAAGAAGGCTTGCTTCTAAGATTTGAGAAAGGTCAGTCACTCCATCTGTCTCAGGCAGGATGTAGAAAGCATCTTCTTATTTGTATGCCCTGTAGCTGCCAATCCATTGCAAGGGATGTTTGTACAGTTAATTCCACTCTATCTCCGGCCAAGTACCCAGAAACAGCCATGATGGTGTTTGCTTCTCACCTTTTATTTCTATAAGTTTGACCAATGATCCAAATTTCTCTAGCCCAGGGGTTTTCAAATTGTGCTCTACACTTAGCTTCAGGAGGCACCTTTGTGAGTGGGAAATAGAATGCTACACAGACAAGCTCTGAGTCCTCACCCCTGCTTCACCCCCAGCCTCTGTGCCTTTATGTAGTTGCATATATTTCTGTTCCAGGTAAGATTTTGTTTAAAAGACCTCAGTGTTTTAGAAAATGTTGGGATATTCTGCTTTTGTTCCTGCTTCTTTCCTTACCCTATCCCCCAAATTTATGTTCCTTTTCTCTTCTACCATAGTTGATGGTGGGTTGGGTCCTTTTTGTTCCAACAGATGTTTGTGGCTGTTGACCCCGAAGGCTTGATCCAAGCAACTGAGAAGGCAGGGAATGGTCCTAGTTTCTGAGTGAAATGGAGGTTAGCAACCTTCAGTATTTATGCTATGTAAATGTATAAACATCAGCATAAGCACTGGCTAACCTGGAACTCTCAGAGTACACCCTAAACCACAGTAATGGGAGAATTAGAATTCCATAGCTGTCTTCCTTGGGCAGTAGTGTGTGTTGCATAAAATATGCTACAGTGCTCTGGCAGGAAAACATCTATTAGCTAGAATTTGGCTCACATGACGATGTGAGTTTCTTTGGAGCCCTTTAATACTAGGAATCAGAAAGACCTGGAGATTTGCATACTGATCACAGCAGTCATAGACCAGTGATGCTAGAACTTGTAAATTTATTTAAGCCACTTTTCTGCCTCTCTATGCTAACTAAATCAATATATCAACCTTGAGTTCAAGAGCCTTTTAATTATGGCACCCAGGCAGTGAGGAAACAGATAGCTTAGGTTTGGAGGTGTGAGAAGGGACAACTTTGACTTTGATCCATTATAACCTACTTTTCCATCCCACCAAACTCCCTTCTTATACCTGCCAAGGCCTGGGTTGTTGATGCCAAAAGCCAGGTGTGTCTCCATATGGAGGTTTACAGAAGGTCTGGCATGGAAGGTTTCCTGTGGGGCCCCTCCAGCTGCCCTTCATTCTCCTTCAGGCAGGTTAGATCATTCCCTGTGGGGTGCCTCTATGACTTTCTTGTGATGTAGTGTATTAGTCAGCTTTGGCTGCAACAACAAAGAGTTCCAAAAAATCACAGTCCCTTACAAAAAGCATTTATTTCTCATTCATAGGTTTGCAAGATAGCTGAGGTTCTGCTGGGCTAGGCTGGCTGGGCCTAGCTTTTGACCATGCGTTAATTTGGGAGTTGATCCCAATGTCTCCTTCTGCTGTAACTCAGGCTAAAGCAACAGGGCTACTGGGGTATGCTCTTCTCCTAACAGTGCAGGTGCACAAGATGGTTGCATGAAGCTTGGATGGTTGGGTACTTCTCAAAGCTTCTTCTCAAAACTGGCACAATGTCCCTTCCGTCTGCCTTCCTCCACCCATTTCTATCTCTCTATTCTTTCTCTTCTTATGTACATGAGGCACTCAGTACTTTACTTTCTGGGAGAAGGGTGGGCTAAATTTGGAGAGCTTTCACTTTATTTTTCCTTTCTTCTTCTTCAATTTTCAGAAAATATAATTTCCCAGGATGCAAAGCCATAATCTGTTCCTTCTCTTGGGCAATATAATGACAACTTGGAGAGGGGTATTGAATGAGAGAGGAACACACAGGGACCCTAGTGGATTTTGGTGCCCTCTCCAACAGTGATCAGATAGATTGACATGCAGACTAACCTTAAAGATTTCAGACTGCATAGGGGAGGGTAGAGGGGGTAAAGGGAGGAGAAAAAAATGAGAAAAATGTAAAAGTACAAGATCCCAATGATGAATGTAACTGTACTGTATACTTAAAAGGTACCAATAAACTCAATTAAAAAAAAAGATTTCACACTGCTCTAACATTTTATGAGTTATAATTGGAGTTAAATCCGTTTTAGAACATGTCCTGGGGGCAAGGATTATTCTTCCCATTTTTCAGATTATGAAATGTTGTGAGGGAAGGATTTATCTTAGGCTGTTTTGGGCAGCAGAATAAGAGTCTCAGTTCAGTGTTTCTCTAGGAGAGTCTCACTATCCACTGGGTTTTGAAAATGTTGGGAGATGAAATATAAAGGGTTTATGTGGTCTAGAGAAAGGAGTGGGAAGTGATGGGCAGTGGTTGGAATCCATAAATGGATTCTACTGGTGGTTGCAGTGGCGGGTTTCAATAATGGTGATTGTGGTTAGTGATGAAGATAGTGATTTTAAGGGTGAAATTTAAATATTGCTCCTCCTCTGCAGTGTTTCAGTCACTAGGGGAAAAACACATAGCACTGCACAAGTGAGTGCAAAAATGTTCAGGTTAGGGGGGTTGCTTTCTGGCGAGAGAACCATATGGAGGCTGTAAACAGGGATATCTTGTTGTTAGGCTCAACTAGTGAGGCACTATTAGTAAGCACACTTGGCATCAGAATTCCTAAGGGGAAAGTAGGATGGCAAGTTAGATTTGACTCCGCAGGGCAATCTTAACCATACTCCACATCCTAGTCTAAGGCTACTCTCTTGGCTCAGAAGCAATTAGATGAGATCCATAAAGTCGATGTAAGGTCCCCCTTCCATAGCCCCCTAGAAAGGTTGGTTGAAAAAAAATATTGGGTGAAAGAATCCATGCCCAAAGGCTCAAGATCCTTGGATGAATGAAGCAGTTCATCACTTGGATAAAAACATTATCAAGAGAAAGGACAATGAATCTAGCCCTTGTTGCCTCAAAAGCTTAAGTACATGAAGAGGAAAAGAACCATCTGCTGGTATGAGTCTCTGAACTTTCTCTGTTTTTCAGGTACCATGAATGATTTGTTCCCTAAGACTGCTAAGTGACTACAGATAGTAATGGAAAGTAATAATGAATCTTTACACACACTATCTTTTCTATTGGAGTGTTGTGCCAGAGAGAACAAAGCTACCTAGTTCATAGTGGACTTGGAGCAGAGAAAGGAAACAGAAACAGAGAGAAAGAAGCTTGAACCATGTACAGTACCCAAGGTCACACTTCTTGACCCACTCAAACACACCTAGAAGTGTGTTCCACCAATTCTCTGGGTGGCTCCCAAGCCAATCAATTTGACACAATCAAGCTTAACCATCACTGATACCAACTGAGAGAGAGGCTTGAGAAATTGAGATTAAATGTGGATGGCTTATCTCCCTGTGAGACACTATGGTGAAAGGTACTTGGGGTTGGGGAAAGCTAAGTCTAGTGATTAACATGAATGTGGAAAAGCCATTCACTCATTCAAAAATATTTATTGAGAAGGCACCAGGTTTATGTACTAAGAGAGTCACTTGCACTAGAGGATTATATATCTTATGGGAGAGCCAGAGAAGGGAGTCTCTGATCCTGAGGTAATAAGACCTAGGACTAAGGTCTGGACATAGGATGCGTAAGCACCAGGATGAGGAACCTGAATCAGAGGGACTTGGGTTGGTCGTATCCATTTATTTAGTAACATTTATTGGCTGTCATGTCTTGTTCCCTAAACTAGGAAACATTAACAGAGAAATGGATATGACACAGTGCCTTACCCTTGAGGAGCTCTCAGTCTGTAAGCACATCACAATACAGTAGGAGTCTGTACAAAGCAGAGAGGAGGAGGAGGAGAGCAGAGAGCAAGTAACTTTCTTAAAGAGTCCAAGGAGGCCTTGGAAGGAAGGAACCTTATTCTTGAGCTAGTTTCAGAAAAGAAATCAATGTCCATCCAAAAGAGGGACAATATTCTTGGCAGAGGGTCTTGCTTGTGCAGGAATACAGTCAAAGTGAAGAAAGTATGCTTAGGAACCTTTGGGTGAATTTATAGGATTCCATGCAAAGAGCCAGGTGGGAGGTTGGCAAAGAGCAGTGAGACTGGGGAGGTTGGCGAAGGGTAAATCTCACAGGGTCATGAATCATGTGCTGTGAACTCAGACTTTATACCCTGCTGAGAATGAAGAAGCACTGATGGAATTTTACATAGGAAACAAGTTTGAACAGATGTGGATTTTAAACCCATAATTCTAGCAACTTTGGGGAGGATAGGTCAGAGTTGGGCAGAAAGTAGGTAGAAGAGACCAGCTGGGGAATGCTGGTAATGGTCCAGGCAGGAAGCAAAGAGATGCAGTGCAGTGGCAGTGGGCAAGAAGCGCAGGGATGACTTTGGGATGCATGTATGATGTAGACTTGACAGAACTATCTGGGCCCCTTCCAAAATAGTGAAGCCCCAGGGCTCTGGCTTGAGTGTGGATTGGGCACTCTAGCTGAGCATGAGAATGAAGGTGGCAGTATGTCCTCTTTTACCTACTAAGAGAGTCACCTGTTCTAACAGAGTCAGCAAAGGCACCAAAACAGGAGGACCATCTTAAGCCTAACATCCAGGCAGGAGGCAAGTGTCAGCTACTAAGCTAAGAGTCAACAGTAGAGAGGAACAAGACACATGGGGACATTATGGGCTACAGAGAGGAGATGGCAGTGCCAGGAAGAAAGAGAGAAGGCCTTTCATAGGACATTGATAGAGCTCTCCTCCCCCACCCCACCTCCACCTCCCACGATGTAGAG